TTCGGGTAACAGACCGTGTCGTTGCCTATGGCTAGTAATTCCATAAGATAGTGAGATTTGATACCAAAGTTGATTAGACGAGTTGGTCGAGGGTGTAGACGGAACCGTGAACTAGATATTTCTCTTAGTTTATTTAATTTTAAATTTATTTTCTTTGTTTAGGTTTTATTCTTAGATAGATTAGATTTTAATCCAACCCCCCCATTTATTGCTTTTTATAATTTCAATTAATACAAGAAAATTCACAATTTGATTCACACTCCTCGTGGGATCGACCCTTTGCTCACCACTACTACTAGTTAGTAGAGGTTAGTCCAGGAAAATATAAATCTTAATTTTGCCGCGTTGCGACGCGCGGTCAAATTTTGGCGCCGTTGCCGGGGAGTGGCGTTATTGAATTGTGATTTTTGAGTACTAGTTGAATTATTTTATTTATTTTTTTGTAGGATTTTATTTTATCATCTTTTACTCCTCTTTTCCTTCTTTATTATTATTATTTTTATTTGTTGGCAGAATACTGGGTGCCTCCATACTCTGCTGGACAGAATAGTTCGCCCCCATACTCGCGGGATTGACTAATTTTTGGGCGATTTTTGCGAGCTTTGAGCAACTTTTCGAGATGGCAGCATATTATCATGACTTTTATACCCACCAGGCACCTTACTAGTATGAGAGGGAGATACGAGGTCCGTGGATTGGAGATCGAGGCGTAAGAGGACCTAATGGTTGGCGAAGATACGAGCAAGACTACATATATCCCGAGGAGAACGAGTACGTCTTGAGAGAGCACTCGAACTCTTTCTATGGGTACTCCAAGCCATCAATTGCGCGAGATCCCAGCCCATCGCTAGAGGATATGGTGAAGGCACTAGAGGCTCACACGTTGAGATTTCGGCAAGAGTATTGCGAGCCAATAGTTGAGAGAGATCCTGGTCCGTCTCTTGAGGAGATGATGAAGGAGTTGACGACTCACACTCTTAACTTTCAGCAAAGTGTTGAGGCTAGTATCAAGAGCCAAGAGGCGAGCATCAAGAGCCAAGAGACGAGCATCAAGAGTCAAGAGATGAGCGTCAAGAACCAAGGACTGCGCATAAGGAATTTACAAGGCCAAATGAGCCAATTGGTGGACCAGATGGACCGACTAGTGTATCGGCTGGAAAAGAGTCCAATGAGTTCGAGTGTCATCCATTCGTACAACGAGGACCTCGAGGAACCTGAAGAGGGCACACACGAGCTGGAGAACGAGAAAATCACGAATATCGAGAAGAATGTGAGCGAAAAAGAGAACCAAGCTGCAGAATATGGGGCTCAGCAGCAAAATACGGGGGTGTCCCATACTCGACCTGCTGTAGCCAAAAAGCGTACCGTTCTTCCCGCTTTTGTGCCGATAGATGCTGAACCGTGTCCTATGTATTCTAATATGAAGTGGGTACTGAGCAAGGATGCACTAAAGCATGTCTTGGGCCTTGATATACATTCTCTTGAGACGATCGAGCAAAACGAAAGGTGTGAATGGGATTTTGTTGAGGCGGTGACTGTGATTGAGTGTGGGTTGCTATATATTCTTCAGGAAATAAAGCCATGGAGTAAAGATCCGGTGAAGCACCCAACACCGGAAAGTTGGGATGTCACCAAACATGGCGTGGCGAGATTGGTGCCTCCCTTGAGGCCACCTCGGAAGCCACCATGGATCTTTTGATGAAAAGGAAGTAATAAGTCGGGCCGACGACAATAAAAAGAGGCGCTTGTTGGGAGGCAACCCAATGGTGTGCATGGTTCGGCGACCTTCTTCGCATTGACTAAGGTGAACTCGTTTCTTTTATCTCCGCTTTTGTTCACTTGTATTTATTTGAGTGTCAATGATATATGCAAACTCTAAGTTTGGGGAGGTATTTCTTGGTGAGCATTCATGTTTTATTATGTCATTATATTTTTTACCCTTAGAGTTTGAGGCTTAGATTGATTACATGATATTTGCTTGTGTGTGAGCGTGAGATAGCATGTACGTGGAACTTGCAATGATGATATGAGAGTCAGATTGGATTTATTGTGCTAGTTTAAATGGCTTGAGTTAATTTTATTTGGTTAAATTCTTAAGATGTTTTATTTTGGGGACAAAGGCATGAAGGTTGATATTTTTGTTATTCATTTGTGGTGAGTTGGTTTTGAGGCGATTTGTGTTGTTCACATGTGCTTGTGATTGCTTTAATCAATGTTGATTAAGTTTGGGGACTTGAAGTTGAAAGTTGGGGTTTCTATGTCTCATAGTTGAAAAAAAAAATAATAATGAGGATGGAGAGAAAAAAAAAAAAGAGAAAAATGGAGAATGAGACGTTTAGACTTCGGCTGGAAATGGACGGGAACTTGACTTGTTAGCAAAGAGAGGGGTGTCATGAGTTGCATTAATCGATACATTCGTTATAGAGATTGACAAACTATGGTGGTCACTTGAATTGATACATGATTGTTTGAGTTCCAAAAATGATTTCATCTTGAGTCCGGATAAATTAATTTGAGTTGTTTGAACTATGTATTTATGTGAGAAGCGTGAGGACCTGAGCAAAATTCAACGTACTTGTTTTCTTATCCATCTACGTGCTTTTAGTTCTAAGTTTCTTGAGGACAAGCAACAATTTAAGTTTGGGGAGATTTGATTGGTCGGAAGAAGTGTGAATTTTATATATTTATTAGCGTATTTTTATATGCATAATTTATCGCACTTATTATTTTTTGACTTATTTATTTATTAGATAGATTCGGTGCTTTGATATTTTTATGATTTATTTTTAGGATATTGAAGTGTTTTCGGGGCACATTAAAAGAAATTTCATTCGGAGCAGTACGGGAGCGCCCCGTACTGACCTACCAGTACCCCATATCAGCCCAGGATTTGGACCCATTTATACCATGTACGAAATTGGGCCCATCACTTGTGATAATAGAAGACTTATTGGGCTAGAGATTAATTAAATAAGTGTTGCCACTCAATTGAGTTATCCCAACAGCATAATATGTGGCCTAGTGAGATGAATAGGAAAATTACTTTGGCAACATTCGCGCAAGAAAGAGCAGCGAGGAGCACATTATTTGAGGGCCCACCAAGTTTTAGTTGTTTTAAATACCTGGGAGGGGTTTTATTTGAGCAGCTGTCACGCAAAGCCAATATATAATTTTGAAGGGGATTTATTTTGCGCAGCAACAGAGAAAAGAGACGGGAAACAGAAGCAGACGCGGACAGATACGAGGAGCCCGATCAATCGCGGAGGGAGGCCGCACCCGCACCCGAGGGAGATAATTAATCTCTCTCTTTTATTTATTATTTCTTTTTATTTATTATGTTAGAGTAGATTTTTATTCTAGTTCCGGGGAAGTCGAACCCTACGATTGACTATGTTTTGATTGATTTTTATGGTTGATGATTTTAATATCTTTTTGGAATTGCTTGTGTTATTTTGAATAATTCACCATGATGTGTTAGTCTTGTTTAGATTGATCACCTAGATTAGGCTTTTCATATCTACATCTGAATTAGACCTGCAATCCGTAATTTTTGTTGTGTTTAATTCATAAGAGGTAACCGGAAGATGGTAACTACCGGGGATAACACGGTCTATTTAAGTGAGCGAACGCGGTTGAGTTCACTACTTAGTCTAGCCTATTTTTCTAATTCGTAAAGCGGCTAATTGTATTAAATCTTGAAAACGTTTTTCTGGACTGTACAAGAAGTCAGGTTTAATCGTAGAGCGTCTCGCGGTTAAATTAAAAATAAGGAAAAATTCGGGTAACAGACCGTGTCGTTGCCTAGGGCTAGTAATTTTATGAGATAGCGAGATTTGATACTAAAATTGATTAGATGAGTCAGTCGAGGGTGTAGACGGAACCGTGAACTAGAAAGTTCTCTTCATTTATTTATTTTTATTTTTATTTTCTTGTTTAGATTTTATTTATTTCATTAGATTTTTAGGTAGTTTAGTTATTAAATCAAAACCCCCCCATTTATCGCTTTTTATAATTTCAATTAATACGAAAAAATTCACAATTTGATTCACACTCCTCGTGGGATCGACCCTTTGCTCGCCACTACTACTAGTTAGTAGAGGTTAGTCGAGGAAAATATAAATCTTAATTTTTCCGCGTTGCGACGCGCGGTCATCAACGTTGGTCGATGGTAGACAAAGGTCACAATCACAAGAATCTCGGGAGATCCAGTAGGTCCCAGCTTTGCAGAAAACCTGGTCGAAGGACTAAGCAGTCGAGCAAATGGTCGTTTGATCGACCACCACATATACCAGGGGCAGCTTAATGGCCTGCCCAGATCTGGTCGAACATAAGAGCTTCTATGGAAATCTCAGACACACGTGCAGGGGACACGTGGCGTAAGCTGATTGGCCTATATCAATAATCGTTTCTGACACATTCCTGACACCTAGGTAGTGGATTGTACAATCGGGCAGGTCGGGAAGCCAACTCACCAAATCCGGGCAGCTTCTAGAATAGGTATCTCGCCCCTATATAAAGGGGTGAGCCTTATGATTTTACACACAATCTCTTATATTCTACTATCACTTATAACATTTGCTCAAGACTGACTTGAACATTGGAGGCTCTTCACCGGAAAAATTCTCCCAGTGTGAGAGTTTTTTGCAGGTTCCGACGTTCTACCCGGGAGGAGAGCAAGATCGAGACAGTTCTCAGTCGGTCGGAGTGTCACACTATATTAATGAACAACTTTATGTTGCCATATCTAGTGTTAAGACCGTGCAGGGCTTGAAAGTTTTGTGCTACTACAACGATGAAAAAATTGTAAAAAAAAATTGATAATATTGTGTGCAAAGAAATTTTGTGTACCTAGTTATTTTACAACGATATTTATTTATTTTTTATATTCTTACACTAATTAAACTCTTATACTTTTTTATTGAAATTAGTATGTAGCCGTGTAGTAAACCGGTGGTGTCCTGTATAAGTGATTTTTTAATGCAAGTGAGAGAGTGAGAGACAGAAAATTGTACTACTCTGTACTCTGGAATTATTCAGTCTGCACCATATTTTGGTTGATCAGGAGCGTGTGGAACGCTCTACGAAAGTCTTTTTTAATTCATATCCCTCTACCACGTAATTTCTTGATTTTGAAAATTCTTTGACTGTTGCTTGTAAAATCCGTCGTTCTTCGATTGCTCTGCTCATCTATGTGCCAAAGCGTTTTGACTTGCTTGACTTTGCAGAGTGGACAAAACCCATCTTCCGATTTTGGTTTTCTATTCTATTCTCGCGCAGCCTTCATCTTCATTAGGGTTTGGTATTCTTGTTTTTTTTATTTCTTTACTTGTTTACTTTCATTGTGATCAATTTGTTTGTGGGCTTCGGATATTTTTTTTTTTCTTTTGATCTTACCGCATAGTTTCGGACTCAAGTTTCTGTTGGTTGAGAATTTACTGTTAAAAATCAATTCTGTAACATAAAATCTGTTCCACTGGTATGTATATATCTTTGATCAAATTCTTGAAAGCGAAAATTTTGCGGTCGTTCTGTTTTGAGATTATTTATCCGTTTGTTTGCTTCTCTATTTCTTGAACATGCATCTTTATTGTTTCGGCTTGCATGGGTTTTCTTTGCAGGGGTTTATCAAATTTCCTTCAGAAAAATCGAAACTGGAGAAAAGAAAAATGGTTACTGGAAAGAAAATGGCACTGTTTGATGAGGAAACTGATAAGGAAATATTCGACGAGGATGAATGGTACTTTGTCGAATTAGGTGATCTGGAAATGAAGACCGAACCATCTATAGAAACTCTAAATGATATCCCTGAAACTGATTCCGATGTTGAATCTGCTCAGGTAAACATTATCCAGTTTTCTTGTTTGAAAAATTAAGCTGTACGTTAGAAGTTCAAGTGGGTGTTGAAATGGTTGATCATCCTGAAAATTGTTTCATTTTATTTTTATTTTTTATTTTTTTTTTTTAATTTTTGGAGAGAAAGGTCATTGAGAATTGGAGTAATTGTTTCTCTCATTATAAGGCAATGTTATCTGCAACTTATTTGTTCAAGTATGTTGGATAGTACATTTTGTCATGTGGATCTTTCTTCTTAAGGAAAATTTCGTTGTATTGTATTATGCAATTAGAAATTTTCTCTGCAACTTTCATGTTCATTAAGCATTTTACTTCCAACAGTTGCATATACATGTGAAATCTCGTGTCCATCATAAGAATTCTGTTTATTGATTTGGTTTCCTTGAGGACTCTGATCATCAAGCTCTATTCACTGCAGTTTCCATATTTTTCCATGTCCATCCACAGGCGAACGTATATTCCAGTACATCATCATCAATCTCTCACATTCATTTCTTTTTCCTCCTTATGCAACAGGAGTTCCAAGAAATAGTTCTCCCCCAACCCATGGAACTCAAGGACATCATAAAAGAAGACATCCTCCCATGGCTCCCGGCCAAAGCCCTCACAAGATTCAAATCCGTTTCCAAAAGCTGGAACTTCTGGATCAAAAGCCCAGTCCTGGCCCACCGCCAGTCCTACACCCACAAATCCATCTCGGGCTTCTTCTCCCAGCCCAACTACTACTCGGAGCCCGACTTCTTCACCTTCAACCAATCCTCCTCTGGCATCCCCAACCCCTCCCTTTCCTTCCTTCCCATCTCCACTTACATAGTCGGCTCGACCCATGGCCTCCTCGTCTGCCGGGCCCACTCCGAACCCGACCTATACTACATATGCAACCCAGTGACCCGAACCTTCCGGAAGCTTCTGAGTCCCGGGCTCTACCACGGGCTCGACTCGGCCTGCGTCCTCGCGTTCGACCCTGCCCTCACCAACATCGAGTCTTTCTACCAATTAGTGTGCGCAGTGCCCCTCGTGGGCCAGCCCGTAATTTGTTTCGAGACCTACTCGTCGAAAACAGGCTCTTGGGCGTGCTCGGACGCCATATGCCCGATGGACGAAGAATTATCGGGCCACGGGCTTTATATGAATGGGATGGCCTATTGGAAGACGAATGGAGGGAAGGTGGTGGCTTTTGACACAAAGACGGAAGTTTGTGGTGTTGTGGCCCTGCCTCATGGGAGCCCGGCCCGTGGGGCCCTGGTGGAGATGAATGGACAGCTGGCGTACGTTGGGATATCTGAGTTGTGTTATGGTGTGGAGATGTATTATGGAGTGGAGATGGGCCTGAGGAGGAGGGTTGAGTTGTTCGGAAATGTGGGTGGTTTTAGGGGGTGTTATTTTGGGGTGTTGCCTTACTGTGAGGAGGGGAAGGTTATGGTAGTGAATGGGGGATTGGTGTACTGTTGTGGGCTGGAGGATGAGGGGATTGAGGAGGTGGGGAGTTGGTGGTGGGCTGAGTTCACGGAGAGTACTCGGTTTTTTCCATACGTTAACACACTCGTTCACGTGGGTTGAGTAGTACCTCGAAGATTTTTTTATGATGGCTCATTTTCTTTCGTCTTTTCGTTTTTTCTTTTTCTTTTTCGTTTTGAGTTGGGAGTATAGGGATTGTTTNATCTATCTATATGTCTGTCTACATATATCTATATCTTTACTATACTAAAGGAGATCAATGTTTTACTTAGAGATGTTAAACGGGCTAGCCATAGCGGACTTTGGGTTAAACGGTTTGGGCCTAAAAAGTTCGGATTTAAACGGGCTACCAAGAAAATGACCTAACCCTAAACCTAGCGGGTTTCGGGCTAAACGGGCTATACGGGCTATAATAATAATAATAATAATAATAATAATAATAATAATAATAATAATAATAATAATAAAAATAATAACAACAATAATAATAATAAATTACAACACCTAGTTAATAATTTTTTTCGACGGCTATTTAGTATTTACCACTATATATATATAACTACACTTTATATATGAATACACATTACAAACTATTAAATAACATATTGTTTCTCAATAGAAAAAAATGTTCGAACTATTATAACTACTATTTGACTAGTTATTTGCTACGCTTCAGCAATTTTCACAATATAGCATACTGTGGAATTTATATTCTATCACTATATTCTATGTGTTAGGTCTTTGTCTCATTTGTTTTTATTAGCCATTCTGATTGACTTAAATATTTTGTTGTGAAATAGAATAAAATTTGTTAATAATTATCTATCAGAATAATAATAATACATTATAACTCATGTGAAGTAGAATAGCAAAATTGTAATATACAATGAATCATGAGACATATTCCTTACCTTTCTAAAAACATAAACACCACCCAACCTAAGTTAAACGGGCTAGCCCTAGCGGTTTTCGGGCTAGCCCTAGCGGGCTTCGGGCTAAACGGTTCGGGCCTAAAAAGTCCGGATTTAAATGGGCTGCCAATAAAAAGTCCTAACCCTTTTTTTTTTTTTGGCTAAACGGGCCGGCCCGTCGGGCCAAGGACCATTTAACATCTCTAGTTTTACTCCATAACTTGGGGGTAGCAACAGCCTGACAAAGGGCTCGTGTCCATCTAAGTACCAAACAGACTCCACCCTTGATTATAATTGATTATATCTATGTCCATTTTTTAGAGCATCCACAATGCTTTGGGTCTCTTAACAAAAAATCACATGCCATGTAAGAAATAGACCTACTCTATAAAAAAATGTCTCCCAATGCAACCAAAAGTGGACATGGTCTAGCTTATGTGGCAATAAAAAAAAGAGACCAAGTCCACACTTGGGTTTATTTTGGACCCCAAGTACAAACCCAAACACTCATCATTTATTCCTAATTTAATATTTCTTTTAATAAAGGAAACATATTAGAGCATTTTTATTGGTTCGCATGTATGCTAGACCTAGTATTTTATTTTTGCATTGAATAGCTTTTGAGTTATTTTACTTGGGTTTGTCCATGTCATTTAGGATTTAAGTCTATTTATATGCCACATAAGTAAAATTAGATCCAATGCATTGTGGATGCTCTTAGATCCTCTCATTTAGTGGTAATAATTTAAGGGATAATTTTATCTGTACACAGCGATTACAGATTTATTGCATACATACGAGAGGTATCAATTAATTTGCAAACTTACCTCTTTCATGGATTTTAATTGTGATAATGCAATATATCTGTTACTGTAAATTAAGTCCACCAAATCTCCTTAATTTCAGGGAATAAAACAATTACCGTTTTCATTGAGAAAAAATGAAAAAATTTTATGGAAAGTGTATATATATCCTATTATCTAGGATATTGTTCTCATCAAAGACGATATACATTTTTTGAATTTAAAAAACGTCTTATCTTCAAAATATATACAAAAACATGGAATTTGTTCTGTCCAGAAAACGTATATTTTTCTTTCCCTCTCCTCGATCAGGAACATAAAACGACCTTGATGATATAAGTCCTGAAAATACCAATCAACAACTGGTAAAAGTTTCTTTCCCTAATCGATTTTGATCTTTGTATATTTATAGTATATTTTTATCAATTTTGAATATTGATATGCTTTTTCTTTCTTTTTTTTCTTTTTTTTGTGTTTTGTGTTTGAAAGCTAGATGGATGCACAAATGATGATCGTCCTACATCACAGTGGTGAATGGGTTATGAATGAGTACGTTAATTTTCAACTATCGGGCCTTGTAGTTCGTAAAACTTGCAGATTCACCGAGCTATGTGATGTATTAAGGGAGAAATTTAAAATTACGTCTCAATCAACCGGTATTGAATTGAAGTATAAACTGAAGGACGGATATCCACCAATGCCCATTGATGACGATAGTAGTCTGGATTTTTATGTCCGGTTGAAAGCGAATGAATCCGAATACACGAACTTTCCGCTATGCGTGGTCGTCACAAATCCAATGACTGGCCAGAACTCGTCCGACTACGCCCATAGTGTCCATGACTTGGGCAACAAAACTAGTGTAACTCCTGTGAGTCGTACGGATATCGAGTACTATATAGATAAGGGAGATGAAACAATGAACTTCATGGATTTCGCACGAACAGTGGCTGCTGAAATGGTTGATTCTATAACATGTACGGAAAATATACAGAATATATTCCATAACAACGAAATGGATTTGCTGGATGAGCCAAATGTCGAATCTAATATCGTTGTTGGTATCTTATTCAAAGATAAGTCTATGTTACAGAAATTTCTGACAATGCATGCCATAAGGAATCAATATCAATTTAAAGTTGAGAAGTCGTGCACAAAACAATATTACGTGAAATGCGTGTCTGATGAGTGCACGTGGTCTGTGAAAGCGTCGCGTGTTGGCCAATCGAGCACATTTAAGATAAGAGTTGTCGGGACTGATCATCGGTGTTCATTAGATGTTCGTATGAGTGGCCAGCGGCAAGCTACTTCTAATGTAGTCAGTAGTTTCATCAAGACGAAGTTCATTAATACAAAAACTTCATATAATCCCGGTGATATCATCGACGATATGCAACATCGTTTCGGGATAAACTTGTCATACCACAAAGCGTGGCGTTCGAAGCACAAGGCTGTGGATGAGGTTAGAGGCAATCCAAATGATTCATACGAATACATACATCAATATCTCGAGAAGGTGCGTGTTTCGAACCCATGAAGCATTTTGAAGTTGAGTACTACATCTGAGCGGAATTTTCTATACGTTTTCATGTCTCTTAATGCATCAATAAAGGGGTGGAATCATTGTCGACCAATTATTGTTGTCGTTGCCACTTTTCTAACTTCGGCGTACGGAGGAATTTTGTTAACTGCATGTTGCCAGGATGCGAATTTTCACATTTTACCGCTTGCTTTTTGTGTTGTTGACTCAGAGAACAACCAGTCATATACCTGGTTTTTTTCGAAGCTGAGACTAGTTGTTGGTGAAAGAGATGGGATGTGTACTGTCTCAGATGGACATGAGAGCATCAAACACGCTGCCGCTACAGTAAGCGTATATGTTTAGAATATATTTTGTATATTGTATGTATATATGAATGTAGTTGGGTGATGTTACTGTTATACTTACCAATTCTGTTGTTTGTCAATTGTATAGGTCTTTCCCCACTGCGGCGCATTGTCTATGTACATATCACATATCAAATAAGATGAAGACGCGTTATATGACTGAATCTCAGTTAGTAAAGGAAGCTTTTCACGCAGCAGGAAGAGCCTATACCGTGGAGGAATTTGAGAGGCATATGTCAGAGATAAAGAAGTTGAATCCAAGTGTTGTGATATATTTGGAAACGATTGGCGTACACAAGTGGGCAAGAGCACACTGTCCTAGTAATAGGTACTTCACAATGACATCTAACGCTGCTGAATCAATAAATGCTGCGATGAGGTCCGTGCGTGATCTCCCGATAACAACACTTTTGGAAGGGCTTAGAGACATGCAACAAAGGTGGAATGTGGCGAATAGGTCTGAAGCCAAGTCCACATTTACTGCACTTGCCAAGAAGCCGCATGATATGTTGGAGAACAGTTACAAATTAGCCTCCAGATTCTCTGTAAGACTGGTTCATCAAATATATTCTGAACATATACACGATATATCTGGAATATAAACATTTATCGTGTTTCATACGTGTGTGTATATGTGTATATGTGTATATATTTTTATTATATTTTTATATACAGGTGCAGAAAGCCAGCGATAGTATATACAAGGTGTTGTCTTATGGTCAAGCCTTTATAGTGGATATAGTCTCCAAGACTTGCTCATGTCATCGATTTCAGATTGACGAAATCCCTTGGGCGCATGCGGTTCGTGTGATACAATCACTTCATCTAGATCCCGTTCCATTTTGCTCTGTTCACTACTTAACATCGACTATGTTAAGTACATATGATGAACCAGTAATGCCAGTAGGAGGTGACCAATCCTTCGCATTGGAGGCACCGCCTACGTTGCGACAAGTAAATCCACCGGATGAAAGAGTTAGGCCAGGGCGACCACGTAAGCAACGACTGAAGTCGGGGTGGGAACATAGATCGAAAAATCGATGCAGTAAATGTAACGAGAAGGGGCACAATGTGAAAACATGTCGTAATCCAAGAAAATAATAAAAAATTATGGATCTTCCATAGTTATTGATTTCGTTGATATATTTTCAGATTATTGTGTGTGGTGTGTACTTTATAATCATGTAGTATAGTCGTGCGCATTCAAATCATGTTCTCTTTTAATGCATTTGTTTCAATTTATATCGATACCACACTATACATTCTTTTATATATATTCTTTTGGTTTAAGTTACTTTTTTTTTTTNCATATTCTTTTATTATTTATGTTTGATGTATATACACTATATACCTCTGTAAGACTAATTCAAAAACTTTTTTTATTTTCTCTGGCTTTATGGACCTGTATATAAGAGAATAATATACACACACACATATATATATATATATGTATAGATACACATGTATCTAGATTCTCCAAAATAGGTTTATATTTTGGATATATAGTGTATATTTTCATAATATGTTTCTGGATTGGTGTTACGGATTCTATGAATGCTAAAAAATATTTTTGAAGTGTATATTTACTATATAATTGCAGTATATATTGTTTTCGTTTTACCTTTTTTCACTTACATGTACATATCCAGTATTTATAAATCTCATTTGTGTGCGCGTTTGTATGTAACAAAATCATACAGATGTAGGAAAAAATGAAAGAAGTTGCAAGTACTGATTAAGTGAAATCTGAAATCAGAAAATCTTTCAATAACATCACATGAACTAATTCATCAAAAAAGTCGATTAAGATTCAGTAAATGATATAAAAACAATATGACATAAAACGCTAACATGTCCGAAAACCAAAAAACACATAAACGATTGTCATAAATCATCAAAAAGAGTTCCAAAAGGACATCATCAGTCATTAAATGATCACACGAGACTAGAACTGACTTCATCGGGCAGTGTACCAGGATATTCATCCTCACTCTCCAAATCCTGGTCTATCTTCATCCTGCCATGCTTATACCGCGAAAATGCGAATCTTAGTCTCTCCATGGCGGCATCAAACTTTTTCTTGGTAATATTGACGTCTGATATGAAATGCTCGGCGAACGATGCAACAAATATACCGCAGTCGCTGCATAACAAATATAAAAAGACAGAGGATGATAAAGAAAACATGAATATATAAATATATATAGTAGAGAGAACATACACTTTATATACATAACATATACACATAATATTCATGTCTACAATCATTTGATAAAAACCTATTATGTTGTCGTGGGAGATCAGGAGCCATTTTTATCTTCAGTGGTGAGTTCACGTCAAAATTTAAGCGTCCATTCACGTCGTTGTTAAAATCACTCCTCTTATCGAAGAAGTGTATCAGACGTAGAAAAATAGGAATAATCTCGGCATAAGCTTGAACACTATCTAGAATGATCGTGTCAACATCATCGGACTTAAGTGAATTATAAACCCACAACGTCATGTCAGGGAAGAGAGTCTACCCAAAATCCAATGTCCAACTCCATTTATCTCAACATGCATTGGGAAGAGGACGTGGTCGACAACAAACAACGAGACTCCACATATAATCTTGTAGCCGTAAATGTAATCAATAATCATGTCATCAACGGTGCATACAGTCTGCTCAGGCGATTGTGCTAAAAAAGATGTATATAGTGCCTTGATGTGCTGGTCGAATAAAACATCGGTTGTTGTGTACCTTACTTTGGCACGCATCCCATACTTGCGCATATAGTAGAACAAAACATCCACGTGCTGCATTATATTTCAAATAAATAGACAAATGTA